TATGTGAGGCAGTCATCTTTTTATTCTGTATTATTTTGAATACATAATTACAGATCTACTATTACAAAAAATTCAATCATTTTGCATTCTTTCGCGGGCCTTATGTGAAAATTACTGTAATTGCGCACAAAATACTATACATAGCCAGCTGTGCTCACGTATTAATGCAACGATTGCTTTATTTTTTGAAAGAATTCCAACCCAATTGTCTAGCAGTAACATCGCTCCAGACATTTTTGTACGTTTTGATCTTTATTTTGAACGGAAAAATCCAAGAAATGCTTAATTATTTATTAAACAGATGGGCATGCTCACCTTACTATGTGCAACTTTGTCTAGACATTGTCCTATTTAAACGGACATCACAGCCTATCATTGCGTGTGTTTAACTTTTGCGATGATAGCGGACGTCATGCGATCTTGAGGGGAATTTGTGATCATGCCGGCCAATGATAATAATGATGATGGGTATGAAGATAAAGAAGGAATTTGATGATAATGATGATGATTATTATTATTAATGATAACTTATCCAGCAATAGCCCTACCATTCTCTCATCACTATCGCTGATTGCACCCCTTTTGGCTGTTTTGAGAGTGGGTTATTTAGTTAATCAATCTAGGGACTGTTGTTAGTATTATATGGCTGTACTTGGAGACAGTTTTAAATCCCAAGTACGCAATTTGCTTTCGATCAAGTCAGTTCGACGAGGAAGCCAACATAAATTTGGTCGCAATAACAAGCATTTCAAATATTTTTTGGTAGGGATTCCTTGTGGGGCCACCTGGTGAAAGTGTGAAGCGCGCCTCTCAGGATAACGGGCGCCTGATTTTAGGAGAGACGATGGGTGCGGCATGTCAGAGAAAAAATTAGTTCGTAATAATCCTATAAAATAAAGTTACGAGGGTACGTCTGGACGAGTACTCAAACTTCGGGCGAAGACCCTGAATTAGGCTTTAATATCATCGCTGACCCATTGCCGGACCAACGGCGAGCGCGCGTATGTCGGGAGAGTGTGCACTAACCTCTGGCGGGGTCATTTTGGTACATTTTCTAGTAGTAACGCTAACCCTAAGTTGAATAAAGGCGAATGACTGAATAAGATTTGAATATTGTGCAACTTACCTTACTTAACATTTGCAAGTAAGCGATTATTTCCGTAGATAATTTTCAAAGCCATTTTCCTTAATATACTGACTTAAGTGGTTATTCTAAGCGGTGGCCTTCGGATGACCCATCTGTAGTACAATGCCATCATCCAATCCCTACTGGATCGACTGCCGGCGTCCAGAAAACTGGAAATTGTGGGTAGTACAACCTACTTAAAATTTGTAAGTGGATGGTTATAATACATTAGGTCCTTTCGAAGATCCCACGAGGAAACCTTACAGTGATTGAACATTGACTAATTTTGTGAAATTATCATCCGCATTCTTTCCTTTTGACAACTTGTTTTCACCAGGAAGACGCAAGTTCAATTTTGGTGATTAAGATTGGCAACCACTAAACCAGGAACTAATTCATATACATTCGTCGGATAGCAAAAAATATCGTTACATTTATCAAGCTAATGACATTTAAGACACATGCAAGATCAAGGAAATGGAACTCACGGAAAACATAGAAGTAATCATCTACGACTACAACAAAGGTATGTTTGAAGGATATGTCGAGAGGCCTTACAAATGTCCATTGACCCAAGGGATTAGCGCGATCTGGAGGCGAAAATACTTCAACTGTCCGCGTGAGTTCAAGGCGATTGATACCACCTCCTACAGCCACAATTTTACCATTTGCGTAGCACAGACCATGGTATTTGCGCTTCTGATTCATGGGTGCCGCACGATGCCAGGTGAGAATTCTGTGTGATTCTACGGTTTCTGCAGAGTTGCCGAACGGAAGGGTGCAGTACTCCACCAGGTCCATGTCATAACCGAATTCATCTTCACCACCAGTGACAAAAATGCGGCCATCCTCCTCGTGAGCCACCGCACGGTGAGAAGATCGAGCGTTGAGCATGTCTGGAAGACGAAGCCATCTAGGGAGGATGTGAGGAAAACTCTTAAACACTTAAATTATCCATCAACCAACGTGAATTAAGGAAGGGCAAAGGTGCTTCTTGGAGTGAGTACGATCGCTTTAAAACAACTGCTTCCTTGTTTTGGTTACCAATAAAGTTTAAAATCTACATTTAGGCTTTCAATGTAGCAAGGTGAGCAAATATAAGAGCTTCAGGCAAACTATCTTGTCCATCATCCTCCAAAGAAAGTGAAGGAGAAAACAAAGCTCTTTCATGGATCACACTGCATTGTTGCTGAGGCCTCGAAGACACCCTCGTCCCCACTATCCGATATGTAATAATTGCACTATCCGACGGCAGATAATGAGACAAAAAGGCCCAATACCGACATGGGAAATATCATCAGTAACCCACAACATAACCTGCCAAGATTGTAGCGCGAAATATTTTGGTGAAATGGGTAAACGTCTCTGTACAAGGTTACACGAATACCAGCTGACAGTCAACTGTGAGGATAGATTGTCACTGGTGTATGGCCAGAAGGAATATGAGAAACACAGTTTTGCCTTCGGGGACGCAAACGTCATCGGCCGCTCCAACGACAAAGATGGCCGGACTGGTGCTGGAAATCGTAGTACCTGTTGGGATCGGCCGCTCCAACGACAAGATGGCCGGACTGGTGCTGGAAATCGTAGTACCTGTTGGGATCGGCCGCTCCAACGACAAGATGGCCGGACTAGTGCTGGAAATCGTAGTACCTGTTGGGATCGGCCGCTCCAACGACAAGATGGCCGGACTGGTGCTGGAAATCGTAGTACCTGTTGGGATCGGCCGCTCCAACGACAAGATGGCCGGACTGGTGCCGGAAATCGTAGTACCTGTTGGGATCGGCCGCTCCAACGACAAGATGGCCGGA